GGACCACAAACAGCATGTAGAAAGCAGAGTTTATTTGGAAAGGAAAGAAAAACACCTGACTCAGCAGCAGGAGAAGACTCAGTGCGTTGCGTTGAATGAATTGTCTAGCGGTTTTTATCAGGTTTGGGGTACTTTGGCTTATCTGCATCTCTGGGTTATAAATAGACCAATCCCAGGACTGGTCCTATTTCTCAGATCCAATCATAAATCAGGTCATGCCTACTCCTCGACTGGGTCTGGCCTGGGCATGGACAAGGAAGTATGCATACAAAGGTCAACAAAGAGTCTTCAGTTTGATGACCTTGAAGTTTAGAATCAGCCTAGGGGTTTTATGTCTGCAGGTTAAGATTAGATTGGCCTAGGCTGTTGAAATCACTGTTCCAGATATTCTGCTACCCCCAATGCTTCCAACCACAGGACCCTTCAGGCTCTCTATCTCCTAACTATCAAGAGCAGGGGTCCTCAAACTACGGCCTGTGGGCCACATGTGGCCGCCCAATGCCATTTTTCCGGCCTGCTGGGTGTTTATGCCCTGTTTTGTTGTTTTACTTCAAAATAAGATATGTGCAGTGTGCATAGGAATTTGTTCATAATTTTTTTTAAACTATAGTCCGACCCTCCAGCGTTCTGAGGGATAGTGAACTGGCCCCCTGTTTAAAAAGTTTGAGGACCCCTGATCAAGAGTACGGAGAACCGAATCAAGGAGTCCTAGTGGTACATTCATTAAATGCCTAGTGGTACATTCATTAAAGGCTAACCAGAGAGTTGACAGTTTGAATCTGTTAGATCTCTCGGGGGAGAGCTATACCTCGGTCCTTGGCTCTGTGCGAGAAAGAATTCACGACAAAGACTGGTTTGTGATCCAAGTGAGTTTACAGAGAATAGAAGCAGTTTCAGGTCCTACAGTAAATGGAACACAAGCCAGACAAGAGTCCGTGGCACAGTTGCGGGACTGCAGCCTGGCTGCTCCAGACCTCAGCCCAGCTGTGCTACATCGTGTAGCAGCTGCCTGGAAGAGAGCGCATAGCAAAACCTCTGGCCTTTTCAGGAACCCCATTGGGAGGCGTGGTGGACAATACTGGTCGACCCCATTGGCTGAATCAAATTCACCTGGCTTAGATGGGCCAATCCAGGTGTAACGCCCACCTAGGTGTACCACCCCTTCCTAGCCAGAAGTTCGAATCTCTTAGCATGCGCATGGATGCCCCAGTCCCTATGCTAGTACCTAACAAATCCACCAGTCACTTCATGGGAGAAAGATGTGACAGTCTGTTTCCATAAAGAAGACAGTTTTGGAAACCCTATGAGCATTTCTCTGTCCTGCAGGGTCACTATGAATTGGAATCAACTCCATGACAGTGGGTTGGGCCCTTCTAAATTCAGAACAGAGAACAAAAAGCAGGTGTCAGACAGGTACAGATCAGAATATCATTTCTTATGACTGACAAAAGCTGGACTGGAGGATGTGGCTGAGATAAAAAACACAACACCCAGTCACTAACACAGTGGGCAACCAAAGACTGAAGACCATAATGCACCCAAACCCTCTCAGATGGGAGGTGGTCAAACCCAGTAGTGAGCCTTCTCAGAAAGGCACTGGTTAGAGAAGTCCCCCTCCTGCTCTAGGGAGGAGTGAGCAAGGGGCAGATGGAGGCTGGAGATGTCCCTTACTCTTGGCCATACAGAGAAGTGTAGAGAGGGAACCCCCCTACCCCACCTGTGTAAATAAATTATTTCTTTGAACATGTATCTCAGGAGGCTGTTGTGGAGATTAAAGAAAAATATAGGTTAAGAGCCTGAAGGCCTCATCCCTGACTTCATTTGTTCTGAGCTGCTGAGGCCAGACAGGCAGACAGACAGGGAAGTTGTGGTTCAGAAAATGCCCGAAGGAAGGGAGTTTCTTTCTTTTTTTTTTTTAATCATTTTATTAGGGGCTCATACAACTTTTATCACAATCCATACATACATCAATTGTGTAAAGCGCATTTGTACATTAACTGCCCTCATCATTCTCAAAACATTTCCTCTCCATTTAAACCCCCCCTCCTACCCTCCCCATTAGGTCCTCGTTTTTCCCCTCTCCCCACTCCCCCCTCTCTCATAAGCCCTTGATAATTTATAAATTATTATGTCATATCTTGCCCTGTCCAACGTCTCCTTTCACCCACTTTCAGTTGTCTGTCCCCCAGAGAGGAGGTCACATATAGTTCCTTGTAATCGGTTCCCTCTTTCCTACCCACTCTCCCTTTACCCTCCCAGTATCGCCACTCACATCACTGGTCCTGTAGGGATCATCCGCCCTGGATTAGGAAGGGAGTTTCCTTGAAGGGGATTTCTCTTTATCTTTGTTCTCTTCCCTCAGGGAACTTTGATAGTCCCCTATAAGGAAATGCTGAGTAGATTGATCTGGCAAGGCTTCTAACACCAACCTCTCCACCATTGAGTTGATTCCATTCATAGTGACCCTTCAGGACAGAGTAGAACTTCCCCTCTGTAGATTCCAATACTTTACAGGAGCAGAAAGCCTCACTGATCTCCCACAGAGCAGCTGGTGACACTGTGGTTAGCAGCCCGATGTATAACCAATCCATTATGGCATCAGGGATCCAAACCAACCCACTGCAGTCACGTCTATTCTGAATCATGGGGACACTAGAGGACAAAGTAGAACTGCCTACAGAGCAGTTGTTGGGTTTAAAGCACTGAGCTTTTGGTTAGCAGGGGAATATTTTAACCACTGTTCCATCAGGGCTTCTTATAAAGAGGCAAACGATCCCCCAAACTGTATCTTCGGTAACACAACATGATTGCTTTTGCACACAGGATACTTGCCTGGCTTTCATGACTATGTATGCAGTGTATTGGTGTTGTAGAGTGGAGTTTCGGGGGTGGGGGTGGGGGTGGGGAGTGGGGGTGGGTGGAGGGGGAAAGGGGCTGTGTTATTCCTAAATTCTCAAGGTAGATTTCCACTTTATTGTCTACAATTTAGCAATTAGGGATTTCTGGTGGCAATGTCACTGGGAACAAACAGGAACCACCTCAAGGGAAAGCCCTGTCCAATTACTGGACAAGAGCATCCTCATTTCAGGCAACTACAATAAGACAGGAAAGCATGTATATGTTGAGCACAGATCCAAGAGCAGTCTACAAGCAAAGCTATGCTTACCACTTGACTTGCTTCAGCCAACCCCAGCTCATTGGCCTCATGGAGCAAGGCAGTTGTAGCAGTGTGGACACCAAAGTCCAGGAGAGCAGGAAATTGTTAGTCCAGTGGTTAGCTTCCTTCTGCTGAGTCATCCCCACTGAGATTTTGAGACATATGGAAAACCCCAGCCGTTGAGATCTTTGACAGGTTTCATTTGAGTAATCTGCCTCACCAACACTATTCCTCTTTGGTATTTCCTACTTTTTTTTTTTTTTCTCAAGGGAGAATCTACAAGCGATGAAACTGGCTCCTTAGCCCACAAGTTAAGACATATGGATATGTAATCCGTAAAGTGGCTTTTTAATGAAAATGGAGTCTTGTGTCACTAATTAGCAATAAAATAGCTAATATTTAGTGAGCACTTACTATATTCAGGTACTATGTTAATCCTCACATTAGGAAATACATACTATTGCAGCTCATATTCTCCAGATGAGGAAATTAAGAAAAATTAATAGTTCCATATTCCATAACCATTATATTCACAATGGTTCCTGTGTAGCGTAAGGACCCTGCCTTTTAAGTTTCCACAATTTGTTTTCATGGACTTTGAGAATGTAACATCTGGAAAATAGAAGGCTGAGTACAGCTCTTGATTTTACAGATGGGGAAACTGAGGCGCAGAGAAGAGCCAAGACTCTAGTAAGATAATGGATAAGCCCCTGCTTTGCTTTTTGTTCTCTAAAGCATCCCTCTCTGCCCCTCCCAGAGGAAAATGCTACCCTAAATACCATTTTCTCCCTTTTTAATTTTCCTTGATTGTTCCCGTTCCTTCTCTTTGCGCTAGATGAGAAGAAATAAGGAAGTGAGGAATGGGTGAAGGTGGGAATAAAGTCCTCATTTATTTTTAAAAAATCATTTTATTGGAGGGTCCTACAACTCTTATCACAATCCATCCATCCATCCATTTTATCAATCACATTTGTACATTGTTGCCATCATCATTCTCAAAACATTTTCTTTCTACTTGAGCCTTTGGTATCAGCTCCTTATTTTTTCCCCTCCTTTCCCGCTCCCCCCTCCGCCGTGAACCCTTCATAATTTAGAAAGTATTACCAATTTGTCATATCTTACACTGTCCGACGTCTCAGTCCTCGTTTATTAATGAGGAGTTGGATGATACCTAATTGACAGAACCTAGGTTTAGGCTGGTTTCCAGCCTCCTGGCTTTGTGCCTCAATTTCCTCATCTAGAAACCTACGCATTCACTAGAAGTCACCCGGAAGCGTAGTACTCTCTTCACAAAAAGCTGCCCACGTCCCTCACTGAACCGCCGCTGTGCCCTCAATAAGCATGGCGGCACCGTGTGACGTCTCTCTGCGGCCCCGTCTCCCTTCCTCTCCCCG